CAATAGATAAACCTTTCCTTAACTTTTACAATAACGGACTAATACAATATTTGTCCTTTTGTGATTGACTTATTTCACTCAACATAATGTCCTCCAAATTCATTCACGTTATGCAATGTTTTGCAGATTCTACATTATTCTTTAGCATTGCATGGTATTCCATTGTGTGTATGTACCATAGTTTGGTTATCCATTCCTCAGTTGATGGACATGTAGGTTGTTTCCATCTTTTGGCTATTGTGAATAGTGCTGGAGTTTTTTTTATAAAGAAAATCAGGGGTGTCATTTGCTTGAAAACATAGACCCAAATGCTGATCACTTTGCAGAAGTCCATAGGCAGATTTAGGAGGCAGTGAGACATTACCTTAAAACATTGGAAGAAAAAAAAAGGACCATACAGACAATGCTCACAAATTTTCTTACTAGAAATGCCACCGTAATTCTCAAGGATAATCTAGGTGATCCAGAACCTTCCACAAATGGAGTTATTACTGCAACTGACAAAATGCCAATGTCATCCAACTCTTCTTTATTGTGGGAGTAAATTTTTATAATGTGGCTATTTTTAATATATGTATGTATTAAAATATATCTGTAAGTTTGCATATAATATTTCCAATCCCCAAAGACAAATAAAGATTGGATTTATAAAGATATTGATAATAAAAGGTAATAGTGAAAACTAACCAAAAAAAAAAAAGAGCTATTCACCTTAGGTCAGAGTTGATTTATGACAGAATTGTCAGAACAGACCCCCATCATAAGTTGAAGACTACCTGTACTTATGTAATGCTTTGTAATATACCATGTATATATATACACACACATAGATGCATATATGTATATAATGTTTGCTTTCTAAAATCTGAAAAGTATGAAACTCATTTGGCCCCCAAGGTCTTCCACTTCTTACTTACCGAGTGCTCATTATGTGCCAAGTGCAGTTTAAGTGCGTTAGTGTAACTCATTTATTTCTTATAACAACCCCACGAGAGGTTTATCCTCATTAACAGATGGAGACACTGAGGCACAGAGAGGTTGATTAGCCCCAAAGCTCTACTACTTGTTAAGGAATCGAGCTGGGATTTGGACCCAGGCAGGCTGGCTCTAGACTGGTTCCTATTCCTTTCCACACCGGTCCTGGGTACAGCCATGCCTCTTGCTGCTTCCTTCTCCACACACCACCCCTGCCCACCACCATCTGGGGCATAATTCTTTCAATAGGCTGTTGGGATAGCCCATTCTCAACCCAGAATGGTTAGCAAAAGTGTCTCTCTGCCCTCTTTTCTGGAAAGACCTGTGTGTGGTATGGAGTCACTAGGAGCAGGAGAGGGTTCCATTCTCAGACAGTCTTCCTTGCCTGAGGCAGGGAACTCCCTTGACTCAAGCTAGACCTGGGGTTTCCCCAGGGAGGTTATGCTAGTCATTTGCTTCTCAAGCCTGAGAGTAAGCATGGAGATCCCCTGTCTCACTCCACCCCAGGATCTCAGATTGCATCTCAGAAAGATTTTCCTAGAGAGAAGAGTGTAGAAAAAAATCAGGTCTGAAGTCTGAAGCCTTCACTGTAACTTTGGGCACACATTAACCATTCAGAGCCTAAATTCTTTATCTGTAAAATAACTACAGAGCCCTGATGGTGCAATGGTTAAGTGCTTGATTGCTTTCTTTATTGGTTTGAAAGGAAAACTCGATAATCTAGTCCTGTAAAGATTACAATTGGAACAATAAGCAACATCACAATAAATGGCATAAAGATTGAAGTTGTCAGGGATTTCATTTTCCTAGAATGCCCAATCAACATCCATGGGTCAGTCACGAAATCAGACATCAGTATTGCACTGGGCAAATCTGCAAAAGATCTCTTTAAAGTGTTAAAGAGCAAAGATGTCCCTTGTAAGATAAGGTATGCTTGACTCAAGCCATGGTATTTTCATTCACCTCATATGCATATGAAAGCTGGACATAAGGACAACCAAAGTAGAATTGATGCCTCTGATTGTGGTGTTGTGAAGAATACTGAAAATACCATGGACTGCCAGAAGAATGCATAAATTTGTCTTGGAAGAAGTACAGCTGAAATCATTCTTAGAAGCGAGAATGGCCAGACTTAGTCTCTTGTACTTTGGCCACATTGTCAGAAGTGATCTGCCCCTGGAGGAGAATATCATGCATGGTAAAACAGAAGGTCAATGAAAATGAGGAAAACCCTTAATGAGATGGACTGGCACAGTGGCTGCGGTGATGAGCTCAAGCATAGCAAGAATTGTGAGGATGGTGCAGGACTGGGCAATTTTTTGTTCTGTTGTACATAGGGTTGCTATGAGTCAGAGCCGACTCAACAGCAACTAACAACAACAACAAATATTACAAACTAAGAAATCTTCTGTCATATGGGGCCACTATGAGTCTGAATCAATGCAACAGCACACAACAACAACATTAAATAAGACTGCCCATTCAGGGGAGCTCTAAGACTCAAGAGGAAGCTCAGACTTTCCCATTTGCACAAAGAGTGCTATTGATCAGGTTACTTTATCCACAAAGTTGAGGGAATAGCTGTATCTACCTCAGGAATACTGTGACAATCACATGAGATCAGTGCTTGGCTCAGTAATGGAGATGTGTTATTGCTAAAGTGCTTTGTAAATTCAAAAAATATAAATGCTAGTGTAATGAGTATATGCACACATGTGAATTATTTGTAGATGGGCAAATGTGTACTTGTAGATGTATGTGTAAATGGGTTTGTCTGTTTGCATATGTGCATTTATATATGCATTTGTGTATATGTTTCTGTATGTATTAGTGAACCTGGTTCTGCCACTTACTAGCTACGAGGCTTTGGTTACATCGCTTAACCTCTTTGAGCTCAGGTTTCATCATCTGTAAAGTGGGGACAATTATATTCACAGGACTAATCATAAAAACTAAATTAAATGATATTTGCGCACTGGGCACTTAGTGGGCATGCCATTAAAATAGCTATTATTACTAAAGCATTTTGGAAACTATAAATTGTTGCATGCATGTTATTTCTATCTACTTATAATTTGGGAGCTCTGGTGGTATGGTGCCTGAGGTATTTGATTACTAACCAGAAGGCTGGCAGTTCAAACCACCAGCCACTCCTCAGAAGGAAAGTTAGGCAATCTACTTCCATAGTGATACCACCTCAGAAACCCAAGGAGGAGTCACTATGAGTTGGATCCAACTTGATGGCAGTGAGTTCGTAAGATTGCTGGGACGAGGAAGTGAGTTAGCATTTTTGAAAACTAGAAATTACTATAAATATTAGAAAGTTGATGATGTCAGAGCTCATGAGGTCATGTAAAAAGTGCTATGAAATAACAGTAATGGAAAATGCTGCTCCATAGACTGATGTCCTAGGCCCTTTTGCTGTTAGGGCTGAAGTCTGGAATTGACTGTGTTTCTCTCCCTCTCATTCCTCACTCAGCTGCTGGCCCCTGGTACCCTGTGTCGTGAGCAGGCACGGCAATGTGACCTCCCCGAGTTCTGCACTGGCAAGTCTCCCCACTGCCCCACCAACTTCTACCAGATGGATGGCACACCGTGTGAGGGTGGCCAGGCCTACTGCTACAATGGCATGTGCCTTACCTACCAGGAGCAGTGCCAGCAACTGTGGGGCCCTGGTAAGATGGGCTTTCCTGGGGCGAACACTTCTTCCCACCCAGGACTTCTGGGCCGGCCTCTTCTCTTCAGGTGTATGGAGTAGCTTAGAATCTGGGCTTCAACACAGTCCCTCCAGATCCAACTTTTATCATTCTCTTCACTCAGGGTAGATTTTCAGGAATAGCCAGTGGACAGTGTTCTTAGTTACTTGATGCTTTAAATTCTCAAAGTAGGTAAAAGGATAAGGATGATCCAGCAGAAAAGTGGACAGAGAGTGGAGATAGAAAAGAAAATACAAATGGCCCTTAACCTGTGAAAAGAAGTTTAACCTCACTCATATTAAGGAAAACAGATAATAACTACTATGAAGTGGGATCTTTCATATATCAGATTGACACAGACAGAAATGATTCATAATATAGTAATTGTGATAATATAATGTTGTGCAGTATTGTGGAAAAAATAGACAGGTACAATTCCTATGGAAAGCAGTTTGGGGATGTCACAATTTTAAGTGCATTTCCTCCCACTGCCATCGAGTTGATTCCAACTCAAAGCAACCCCAACTGGGTTTTCAAGGTGGTAAATCTTATAGAAGTAGGTTGCCCCATCTTCCTTCCACAGAGTGGCTGGTGGGTTTGAACTGCCAACCTTCTGGTTAGCAATCTAATGCCTTAGGCTCTGCACCACCAGATCCATCAGTTCCACTACTTAGGAATGCACCCAACACTTTAACTTGCACATGTATGTGAAGGTATATTTATAAGGACATTCATTGCAGTATTGCTAGCTTTAGCAATAACAACATATATGTCCTTTAATAAGGGATCAATTAATTATGGTCCATGCAGTGGAACATTATGCAGCTGATTTAAGGAAGGGGGCAGACCTATATGTACTGAATGAAATCATCTCCCACAATACATTATTCAATGAAAAATGCAAGGTGCAGAACAGTGGAGAGAATATGCTCCCATTCTTTATTGGATAGATTATCTCTAGAAGGTACAGAAGAAACTGTTATTATGTTAATAATGGGTGCTTCTTCAGGGTAGAGGAGTAGAAACTGGATTCCTCAGAGGACAAATTCCAAAGACATACTTTGTATTTTAAAAATTTTGTGTGTATATTACTTATTTTCAAATGCCCTGAAATGGGGTCAAGACTTCTTTTCTTGTGGTGTCTTTGTCTGACTTTGGTATCAGGGTGATTCTAATCTCATAGAACGAGTATAGAAGAGTTCCTTCTTCTTTCTTTTTTTGGAAAAGTTTAAGAAGGATTGAAGTCATTTAATCGGTATATGTTTGGTTGAATTCCCCAGTAAAGCCACTGAGTCCAGGACTTTACTTTGTTGGGAGGTTTTTAATTCCTGATTCAATCACTTCATTTGTTATGGGTCTGTTGAGATGTTCTGTTTTCCCTTGAGTCAATGTAGGAAGTTTACGTGTTTCTAGGAATTTGTTCATTTCCTCTGAGTTATCTAATTTGTTAGCATATAATTCGTAGTATTCTCTTATGATTCTTTTTCTGTCTGCAGGGTTTATTGTAATGTAATGTAATTATAATGTAATGTAATCTTCATTAGAGAGAAGGCTTAGCATGCAACCTACCCACAGACATAAATCCTCAGTAAAGTACAAAGCACTGATAGAGAACTTTTTCTATATTTTTTGAGGAGGTGGAATAACCAGATAGAGATACAGGAAAAAAAAAAAGACTGAGCATTCTCCCCTACCCCCAAGAAACTGTCCTAACTTCATGATTTTACCTAAAATGTAACATAACATAACATAACATAATACAATTATAATATAATATAATATAATATAGCTTGCTCTTTGAGGTGCTCTGACTTCTATTGAAGTTGGCTGATCTACTCAATAAATGTTATTTCTTTCCCACCCAGGAGCTCGTCCTGCACCTGATCTCTGCTTCGAGAAGGTGAATGTAGCAGGAGACACCTTTGGAAACTGTGGGAAGGACATGAATGGTGAACACAAGAAGTGTAACATGAGGTGACTATTGCAGATTATCTCAGAGCCTGTGAGATGCAGGGTCACAAAGCAGTTTCTGATCTGCCCACACCCCTGCCCAGCTCAGCAGCTTGGCTGGCCCAGTGCGGGTTTAGGCAAAGTCATGTTTTCCAGGCCTGACGTTTGACAATGTACCATTCAGCCCTAAAGAACTGAGAATGGTATGGATGGCAATGCTTCCTAGAAAGCTGGTCAGCCTCCCTCTGGGGATCTTACAGTAGGGTAGGGAATCAGCCCACAATTCTTCAAGGTACTAATTATACCATCATCTGACTAGCCCAGGTTATTTATTCATATGTTGATTCAACTATCCATTTATCCATCCTTGCATCCATCCATCCATCCATCCATCTAATATGTACTGAAGGTTTACTATGTGCCAGATACTATGCTGAATGCTGGAAAGAGACAATGGAGATCAAGACTTGCTGCTTCCATCATGGAAAGTTTCATTAACAATGCAGTGTGATAATGGTGGAGAAGAGCCACTGTATTGGTTTTCTAGGGCTGTTATAACAAGTGACCACAAACTAGGTTGCTTAAAACAACAGAAACTCTCTCACATTTCTGGAAGCTAGAAGTCTGAATTCAGATATTAGCAGGGCAGGATTGTACTGTCTCTGGAGGCTCTAAACCAAAAAAAAAAAAAAAACCAAACCCACTATGGTCAAGTCAATTCCAACTCATAGCAAAACCATAAGACAGTAGAAATGCCCTGTAATGTTTCCAAGGGTATAACCTTTACAGAAACAGACTGTTACATCTTTCTTCTGTTGAGGACTCTTTGTTGTTGTTGTTGTTTGCCATCGAGTCGGCCCCAACTCATAGCGACCTCTCCTTGGGTTTCCAAGGCAGTATCACTACGGAAGTAGGATTGCCCAACCTTCCTTCCGAGGAGTGGCTGGTGGGTTTGAACCGCCAGCCTTCTGGTTAGCAGTCAAGTGCCTTAGCCACTATGCTACCAGAGCTCTAGAGGAAAGAAAAATCCTTTCTTATTTCTTACAGCTTGTGGTAAGATGTTTCGTGGCTCATGGCAGCATAGCTTCAATCCCTGCTGTCTTCACGTGGCTGTCTTCCTTCTGTGTCTGTCTGTCTCCTCCTTTTGTTGAGGATACCAGTCATATTGGATTAGGGCTCATCCTACTCCTGAATGACTCAGCTAATTGTATCTGCAAAGACTCTATTTCCAAATAAGATAACATCAACATGTACTGTGGGTCAGGTATTTAAAGTAACTTTTTAGGGGATACAAATTAACTCGTAACAGCCACCTAGCCCATTCTTAATGGGTCTGGGGTGGTTTCCCAAAGGAAGTTATGCTTAAACTGAGATCTGGAGGAATTATGTTAGGTGAACAGGGTGGAAATGGTGCCAGTGCCTGGCAGAATGTTCCAGGCAGAGAGATGAGTAGAGTCTGGTGTAAGAGAAAAACTGGCAATTGAAAGAACTGATAGTAGTTTGAGGCAGTTAAATTATAGTGTTGGGGGTGAATGGGGGGGGGGGCTGCTGAGAAATGACCCTAGAGAATTAAACAGGAACCAGATTATGAAGAGCATTGAATGCACAGATAGGGGAGTTTGGACTTTGCCATGAGAGCAGTGTGGAATTGAGACTCTTGAAGGGGCAAGACTGGGCCCTAGGTAGCACGAACAGCACTCTACTAATGGAAGGTTTGGTGGTTTGTACCTACCCAGCAGTGCTGCAGAATGAAGGCCTGGTTATGGTGGGTTGCACCTACCCAGTGGTACTATGGAATAAAGGCCTGGTAATTTTCTTCCATGAACATTGTAGCCAAGGAAACCCTATGGAGAAATTCTACTCTAACATATGGAGTCACCATGAGTCAGAATTGACTCAGTAATAATAGGTTTGGTTTGGTTTGGAGGGCAAGACTGAAAGCAGGTAGATCAGTTTCCTGCACTCCAAGTAAAAGAGGACAGCAGCGTGAATTAGGTCTATGTATAGGACAGAAAGGAGCCCTGGTGGCACAATGGTTAAAATGTTCAGCTGCTAACTTAAAGGTCTGTGTTCAAACCCACCAGCCACTCTGTGGGAGAAATATGTTGCAAGCTGCTTCTGTAAAGATCTACAGCCTTAGAAACCCTGTGAGGCAGTTCTACTTTGTCATATACAATTGCTATGAGTTGGAATTCACTCAGCATCAGTGGGTTTGGGGTTTGGCTTTTTATATAGTAAGGAGAATTGGATGACTTGAAAATTGCTTGACACTAAGGATGAGGGAGAATGGGGAGTCGAGGATGGCCCCAGCGTTCTGGCTGGGGCACTTAGCTGGGTGGCAGATTGCTCAGGTCAGGCAGTTGTCTTTGCAGTGAGGAGGACTCTCCAGGCCAGTTCTCCAGCCTACATATCTTGGGAACAGGAGCCCTTCCCTTCCCCTGGTCTGGTCTACATGGGTTGTCTCTTGGTGGGTCCCTAAAGCAGAATGACTGTCCTGACCTTTGCCTCACCCCACCTAAGCCCACTGTCAGGGACCACTGAAGCTCTTGGGGGCCCTAGCACTATCTCTGCCACTGCTTCCATCTCCTTCCCTCCCTCTCTCTTGACCTAGAGATGCCAAGTGTGGGAAGATCCAGTGTCAGAGTTCTGAGGCCCGGCCCCTGGAGTCTAACGCAGTGCCTATTGACACCACTATCATTGTGAACGGACGGCAGATCCAATGCCGGGGTACCCACGTCTACCGAGGTCCTGAGGAGGAGGGTGACATGCTGGACCCAGGCCTGGTGATGACTGGGACCAAGTGCGGCTACAACCATGTGAGTCCCTCCCCCTGCCTCACTTAGGGGTAGGACCATAGTCATGGGGATGAGAAGTGTGGGCTCTGGAAGGAGGGTGCCTGAGTTCACATCCCAGCCTCACCAACCTCTCAGAGTTTCAGTGTCTTCTTTTACAAAATATATTTAGTAATAGCAAGTACCCACACCATAATCAAAAAACAAAAAGCCAGTTGCTGTCAAGTTGATTCCAACTAATGGTAATGTCATGTGTGTCAGAGTAGAACTATGCTTTATAGGGTTTTCAAGGAATGATTTTTGGGAGCAGAACCTAGGCCTTAAAAATATGTATGAAGCACCTAGTATGGTACCTGGCACTGAGTTGGCTGCTGTCGTCCTCATCATCAATGATAATGTGATATTAAAATTAGTATATATTAATATACCATTAAGTAATTGACATATAATTAGCATGTAATGCTATATAGCTTAATAATACATATTTATATTATGTTATTAAGTATATTACTTTAACAATATAGTATTTGTTGTCTTGTCCTTGAATATTTAGGTTGTTTTCAATTTTTCATTCTGATTAATAATCTGAGATGGCTACTGCTTTCAGCCCTTATGTATTCCAAGTATAAAACCCAGATCTTTTGATTCCCAACCAGTGTCCATTCATTGTACTGACGGCTCGGCTTCCTCCTTGATACAGATTTGCTTTGAGGGGCAGTGCAGGAACACCTCCTTCTTTGAAACCGAAGGCTGCGGGAAGAAGTGCAACGGTCATGGGGTAGGTGTAGGCAGGCTCTGTGGCTCTTTTGGGCTGGTGTCCACAGGGAAGGCCCTGAATGAGGGGACTAGCAGTTTTGTGAGGTGTGAGACAGTGCTGACCTCTGCCTTTTCCTTCACTCGCTCTAGGTCTGCAACAACAACCAGAACTGCCACTGCTTTAGGGGCTGGGCCCCACCCTTCTGCACGACATCAGGCCTGGGGGGCAGCATTGACAGTGGACCCATGCCCCCCGAAAGTGAGTTCCGGCCTGCTGCAGGCCCCTGGCCACCTTCCCGTGGGTCTTTGTGTGGCGCTATGGGATGAGGTGGCATGTAGTATGCATGTTGGGCCTGGATATTATCCTGATTTTGTAGATGAGGAGACCAAGAGGCAGAATAAAAGGGGAGGGTTAAGGCCAGCACCCTGGTCTGGAGACTTTCAGCTCAGTCATACTCCTATTCTTCCCATTGAGGAGGGAGACCCTCCTTCATAGTGGAGTGAGAGAGTCAGATAGCCTGTAGGTCATTGGACAATCCCATCTGTTTTGGGGAGTGGGGTGACAAGTCCTTCTTTGGTTTTTAAAAATAATCATGAATCTGGGACACATTGTGGTGGTTTATAGGTTCCCGTGGGTGAACACAGCATAAAATGGGGAAACAGACACTCAGAAAAATTTTGCGATTTTTTTAGTGAAAACCTAAATTAGGATTCTTGCTCTATGGTTTCCTTTTTTTTTTTTTTTCATAGTAGCAAAATGGATTTTTTTTTTTTTTTTTTTTTTTTACAAAA